CATGAGGCTACGCGTGTGTGTGTGTGTGTGTGTGTGTGTGTGTGTGTGTGTGTGTAAAATAAAGCTGACCATTTTTTGTTCACACGCCAGACACGCAAGGCGGTGCGGGGCGGCGCGTGCTGCTGCCCAAAAAGGACCCACAACAATGGACCTGAACGTTATTTTGTCTGTTTTTTTCGTAATACCCTGTAATTGTGGAGATCAAGGGGTATGTGGAACAGGAGGAAAGGTTTCGATTCGAATTCCATGCCTGCATTTGGCGGCCTCTGGCAATCATCGGCTCTCATTGGCTTGGCAGGAGACTGTCCTTGGAGGTAGCTCCTAGTCGAGAGGTTCATCCGCCCAGCTGGACACTCATGTGTGTGTGTGTGTGTGTGTGCGTGTGTGTGCGTGTGTGAAAAATCACTGCCGCATAACGAAGGTCCTGTCCGGCCGCTGTTGTTCCTGTTGTAGCGCCATTATTTTGCTTAATTATTTACATGAGTAAACAGTTGAGAGTTCAGTTCGGTTGAGCTCCTCCGGGATGGCATGGGGCTGAGCTCGGTTCATATTTATGAACAGCACTTTTGTGTGTGTAAATAACCGCAAGCGCGGCGTTAAAAAATTGCTCAAAAGCTCACTTAATGGATCGCTCTCTTTTTTTTTGCGGCGCGGAAAAGAGATTTTCCAAGAGTTATATAGGGTGAAAGGCCACAAAAACTTTTTCCCGTGTGGGTAGTAAAAACATATTCCAATTGCCATACAGCGGGCAACGCCTTCGACATTCTTGTTTTCCCTTTTTTTTTCGTGCAGCGAATCAAATCGAAAAGAAACTTGCCACAAACTTCCAATCAGACTCAATTTGTTCCAACAACAACGACCAGAAGTGGAGGCCTCTTCCCGCGAGGAAGAGCCCTGAAAGAACAAGCCTCACATGGTCTCTGTCTCTCACCTCATCCGAGGCCCACCGCGCACCCCGCTCACCTCTCACCACCCTGGCAATAATAATTTCAAAATTACAAATTCACAAAACGTACGCGAAATTATGCGCAATGTCTGCACTTCGTTCCGTGCGTCTCGCAGCCTCTCTTTGGCCCTCCGATTTCAGGCCCCGGTTCCACATTCGATGTTGTTCGTCTTCGTCTCCTGTGCTCTCCGGGCGGACGACTACGAGTTCGAGTTCGAGTTCGAGTATCTTTGCATCTTTCAGCTGCCATCTGCCGCCTGCCGCTGCTGCTTCTGCTGCTGTGCCGCGCCTAAAGCACTTTTTATATTATATATAGAGCCACATATATATCGTATATGGATTGTATATATGCCGCCATGCCGTATCAAGGATTACATGCCACATCCTCTCCTCTGTCGAGGCACAGTGGGCCAGAAGCTGTGGAAAAGGCAAACAGCCTTTTCTTGGGTAGATCTTAACCATAATTCGTTGAATAGAACCTTCATTTCCCCTTGAATAATCCCCAGGCTGAGGTTTTTCTTCAATCAGAACAAAAACTGGATCATTTTCCACTCCAAAAACTCCTCCTTAAATGGTATTTCTCCTTCAAAATTCATCATTTGCAACCACTGTGTCTCGTCTCCATCTTCGTCTTGTATAAAATGCATAAAATTCACATTTAGATGTTGCTCTGCGGCCTGCGACTGTTGGCTTCCATGTTGCCCCGAAGAGCAGCGACAGGGAGAGGCATTCATCATTCATTCATTGCCGCAGAGCCGCAGAGCCGCAGAGCCCCAGAGCCGTCTGTGATTTTTCTTCATTGCAAATATGGCCAAGTCGCGAATCAAGTTGCGCGAGAGTCTGCCCGTCTTTAGAGTCAATCAAAGGCCTCAAGTTCATTATGAACTGCCAGAGTGGCTGTGTGGCAGAGTGGCTGTGTGGCAGAGTGGCAGAGTGGTTTGGTGAGTAATAAGTGTTGGGTCTGGGTCTCTGCGCTCCACACTCCATAGACCATGTTGTTGTGGCTGTCTTTGGGCCGGGCATAGATCGGGTTAGGCCTCTGCCTTCTGCCTGCTGCCACCTTCGTCCATTTTCGGCTGCTACTTTGTTGGCTGGTTGCTGCCGACGATGTTGCTGCCGCTGCTGATGGGGATGTTGATGAGCTTGATGCATGTTTTGTTAGCTTCTGTTGTTGATTCGGAATGCAGTTTGGCGGTATGCCCCCGGGGCCAGTGCCGGTGCTCCTGCATTTTTGATTACTTTTTTCTCCGAGTTTTCAGTGCAAGTTTCGATTGAGTTTTGGTAGCCAGATACTCGCTTTTGTAGATACGAATCCATAGATGGATTCTGCACTTTAATTTGCTCGCAAAAAAACGCGTGCAACTCTCCCAGGGACTCCATTAGAAAAGCCGAAAATTCAGCACTTTGCCAACAATTGGCCAAGGAAAAACTTTCGGGCTAACTTTTTAATGGCTCCAAACAGGGAGAGCCAGCCAGAGAGAGAGAGAGAGAGCTTTTAACTGTAATTAGGAAACAGGCGATGCCGCCAGTACATGCCACATAGCCTTATATAAGGCTTGTATATATGTATTTTATGTGGGGCGGAAAATAATTTGGAAAAATTCAACTCGATTTTCGTGAGTTTCGCTTGGCATGCAATTTGGAAATTTTCTCAATTTTCTTTTCGGTTTGTTTCCGTTTCGTTTCGAGGAATGACATAAATTTATTTGGCTTTCTCGTGTTCGGCCGTTGATGCCACAAAATGGCGTCTGGGCAGGGCCGGGCCGGGCCGGGGCAGGGGGGAAATTGTTGCATGCATTTGCATATTTTCCGCCAAAGAGCGAGTGCGCGACATTTTATTTGGTACCTGTGCCGCCCCCCCTCTGTCCCTCCCCCTCTGCGACAAACATGGCCCAAAATGGCGTTGGGGAAAATGTCAACCATGTGCAAAAAGGCCAGAGGGGGAGGCGGAGGGGGAGGGGGAAGAGGGCCACCAGTAGCAAGTACCAACCGGTTGAACTACGACTATTCCCATGCCACAGTGGGGCAGGCCCTAGGCAAAAAAGGGCAAGGCATTAATCGATTCAAAAAGGGAATAAAATGCTACAGAAAAGATTCCTCCCTACGCCCTACGAAATACTCTGTTAATCTTTTTCTATAAACTATTCCCAAATTCCCATCCCATGCCGCAACCACTGTACCCTCTTTTGGGGTGGGGTGGGGGGGTGGGGTGTGGGCAATCAGCCAACCAAAGCGACGGCCATGCAATGTCCAATGGTTCGGGCCACCAAGTGTGCTCCTCCTCTGCCCCCCTACCCCCCCGGGCCGAGCCGAGCCCTGGACAACCCCTAGTCGGCGTAGAACCCACAATTATGCTGTAGACCAAAGCAAAATAATTACTTTGATCGTCAAATGATATTATTTTGTCGGCCATGCGGCGGTGTCTGTGCCGAGGGGCAGGGGGTGGGCGGGGAGGCGTGGTTAGGCCGGCATGCAATTGAGCTGGTTGTAAGTGTTGCATGTGTCTGTATGTGTGTGTGTGTGTGTGTGTGTGTGTGTGTGTGTGTGTGTGTGTGGGTAATGGCCGACCCGCCACAGTGGTTCGGGATTTTAGGGCAGTTTTTAATTCAATTTTTAGGGAATTTTCCAACACGTTTCAAGGGCTACAATTTTGTCAATGGATTGGGCTTTATTTAGAAATTTTTTAAACATTTAAAAGTCTTTTGTTTCTCGGGTTAAAGCAGCGATCACTTTCCGCCCGAATGCCTCCATTTTTTTAGACAAATAATATCATTTCCTTGCCACTGTGCGCTCCAAATCCCTTACATATTTCTGCATCAGCTTTTTCAAGCATTATTGATGATGCCATTCGGTGCCACTGTGCCCCATTGGCCCTGCAACGGCCGCCATTAGCCGAGAGTGCAATGTGCATTTGGCCAAATTTGCATTCGTTGGGTCCCGGTCCCGGTCCCGGTCCCGGTCCCTTGTTCCTCTCGGAGCGGATCCGGCTAGCCCCACAAGTTAATTACTTTTTCGTACATTTTCGATGGCGCGTTTCGCACTGAAAATTTCCTCCTTTTTTTTTTTTTGTACCTCCCCGTCTTTATTTATTTCACTGCAAATGAAGCCGCCTCTACCCTCTACTCTCGACGATGGAGCTCCATTTGCAGTCCCAATCCCAGTCCACATCCACATCCGCGTCCTGCATTCGCTCCTCCTTTTGGTCGTTGTTAGTTTGAATGCGTTTTCGCATTTATATGCAAATTTTTTGGTTTGCATGCAGAAAATATTGCTTTCGACAAATGGCCGGAGTGCGAAACGCTCTGGAGAGGGGCCGAAGCCAGTTTCTGGTGCAGGAGGAGCTCGGTGCAGAGCCACGGAATTGGTCGGCGAAATTGCACTGCGCTGACCAATGGGCGGCATCATCACCCATCACCATCACCATCACCATCATCGGCGTGGCATGTGGCATGTGGCGTGGCATCAAATGGGCACAAACCGCACAAAAGCGGCTTGGAATTCAACGAGGATATATGGTCTGGCAATGCAGGGGGCCAGCAGCCCCGAAAAGTAGAAATTATGCCATGGAAATATTACGCCCAAAAATGCCAATAAAAGTGTACAGCAAAAGTCATAAATTATGGGGAAGGGGGCGAGAATTCCTCGAGATTTCAGGCACTACAGGTGTATCCTTTTAGATCTGGCTTACCTGTAGTATCCTTAGTTCCCGTAGATCTATGGGGCTTTCCATTTCACGGAAAATGAAGATTTTTGTACTTGAAAAGAAAGAAATTAATTTTAAAATTAAAGAAAACCATCAAATAAGTGCAAAAGGGACTTTATTTCTTTTCTTTTTAAATATTTACTGAAGAATCTTGTGTGTTGAATTTTAATTTTAAAGGAATTTTAATAGAGAATGTGAATATATTGTATATATATTATGGATATCACCTCTGGGGATCGGGTATACCGATAGAACTATCTATAAAGTTGCTATTCAAAGCCTTATTCTCCTGCTGATCGCCTGCAGAGTTTCAGGAGTCCCCCATTGCCCCTCTCAACCAACAACCTCGACTAATCGGCACTTCCTTTAATGCTAGTTTCATAGAATTTTACTCATAATTAAGGCACAAATCGGGTCTCCATTCCAGCCACTGCACCTTCCCCGTTTAAGCCCCTCAGTCGGAGAGAAAAAAGCCATCATGGGCACACCAATTTTCCATTTCTTATTTCATGGCAAGGTGTCGGAACTGTTATGGAAAAGAAATTTGCTTTAGAAATATACACCTCATAGATATAAAGACTTGCAGAACTCACAATTGAGTATGGACAGAAGCCAAATCGAAAGCCACAGCCTCATGATGGATGCCAGGGAAAAGGTTTACCAAAAAGAAGTTTGGCGCAATATCTGTCCAATATCAGGCGTAGATTCCTACTAATCGAAAATCCATTGCTTTGTTTTAGAACGAACCATGAAGAATCCATTGGCCTGGCCAATTTGTTGCGCCACCCCAACGAATCCCAGTTCTGGCCGCCTAAACAGATCTCATTAACAGCTTGCCTTTGGTCGGGGGGGCCCATGAATATTTATGTGGCTTGGTTCCAGGAAACGCTAATAGAATTCTCACAATATTCTCACACATTTACGTTAACCTTTTCGCCGCTGGGACGCTGGGGCGCTGGGGGCTGGGGGCGTGGACCCGACCTCCCAATAAAAAGGAAAATGTTGCCAATGAGCCGCAGATTTATGGCGCTTAGAAAAATGTGCAATTAATGCGTGTATAAATTACGGGAAACAATTAAACGGAGGAGACGCCAGACATGGCCATAAACATTACACATACGCCCCGTGGCCGCGTGGGCGTCGACATTGCGTGCTTAAGGGCCCTGATTTATTTTCGGCGTAACTGTGACTATGAATGGATGGTATTCATACTCGTATGAATTGTGAATGTGAATATAATGAAGTTCCGATAAGACATACAGCTAATTAGGCGGCAGGAGGCAGGCACCATCATGATGGGGCTGATCAGACGCCTAGAAGTAGGCAATGGCTGAGAAATTGGGGATAAGAAGAATGGGGGATACTCTTTCTACTCCCTGAAGGCCCTCTGCCTGGCTGGAACGGTGGCTGTCCGCCCCAGAGAGCTTTCGCCGAGGATACGGCCAAAGTCACCCTGTGGGTCGCTGGCAGCGTAATCTACAGAACCCAAATTGAGTTGTCTGTGTGCGGAATGGACAAACAGGGCATGCCCCCCCCCCCCCCACTTGTCCCTTCTCGTGCACTGCTGCAATGCAATTCATAAATTTCAACAATGATAATCGAGCAAACTCCGAGTTTGAAGAGGGCGTTGCAAGATTGCTGACTGCAGGAGAAGTACAGGGACGAGGGGGGGACGGGGGTACGGGGGGGCAGCATCCAGTCAGCAAGTGTAACATATTGCACATGCACATGCACAGACAGGGATCCTTTGGTCCTTGCGGGACGACGGCACGAGGTGGTCCGAGGGTGGCCGTCGCCACCCAAACAAACACTCGACGCTTTTGTTCTTGCTGATGGAATTATTTGTTCGCACATTGTCAACTTGCCACTCCCCCATGCCCCCATGCCCCCACTCCGCCCCCTCGTGCCCCTTATCGCCGTGTGTGTGTGCATCTGCCCCCGGCTGGCTGCCACTTCTCATTGCAAAATGCAATTTGCCGCCACCCAGCAACATGGCCCGAAAAAGGGTTCTCCCTCCCCCGCTTTCGGTCTTATCTTTGCTTTCATTTCATAAACCAGCTTCCTCTAGCGACACCCCCCCACCCCCTCCGCCCTCCCCCCTCCTCCGACTCCCAGTCACAGTTTGGCAACACTTTTCGACCACAAAACGAACTCGAAGCCCGAAACAATGAAGAGACCGACCAGGCGGCGACCGACTCGTTGCTGCAACTGCAATCCATTCGATGTCTGCCTGTGTGCGCGTGTGTGTGGCAGACTGCAGTTGCTGCCACAATGTATCATCAGTTGAACTTTTGTGCGGCTGTCATAGGCAGAAATTGGTTGCATGCAGAGCTCCAGTCTCCAGTCGCCCAAAAAAAGGGGTCCCCCTTGCAACTTGATTTGCAACTTCATTTGCAATGGTTCAGGGCAGAGATGCAGATAGATTTCCAGAGCAGGAGAGAAGGCATAGGTATGTGCTGTATGTAGTATATAAATCATATGAAATTGTTTCTGGCCCCAGACCCAAAGCCAGAGCCAGGGCCAAAACACAATTTGATTGGATTTGATATTTTTGTTCAGGTCTCGGATAAGATCTCAAGGCTTGGTTTGCTCTGGATTTTGGGCACCCCGGGAAAGTGGGAGAGCCTTTGACAAGGGGGCCAAAGACCTGCCTGGGAAAGTTACGGGTTAATTGGCGAGGAAATGTTTTTGTGGCTGAGGAAAATGCCGAAGAAAAAGTGGACAAAATGCAAGGGTTTGATTTATGTATCTGAGGGCAGGGAATGCTGTATTTTAAGATATTTTCCAGAGACAAATCCAGAAAGATTTGATGCTCCAATCGTAGATAATCGGGAATTCTCTAGGAACATCTATTACGAGGAATATCCAACTTTTTCCAAGGTATATTTGTATATTATTGCTGATATTTTTTAGATACCCAAAAGGGTATTCTTCATCTTGTTTTTTAACAAAAGAAAACCTCATCTACCGCTTCAAATGGAGGAGCTCTCAAGCTCTAACCTTTTGGACTGTGTTTTCTTTTCTTTATAAGTTAGATCGTCATTCCCATGACTTATTTCGAGCCCTGCCATGCTGGAAGAGCGAAGATCATCTGTCCCACTTTTTCCATAATATATTTTCCTCCAAAAAAAGGGATTCTTCATCTGGTTTTCAAATAAAAGAAACCCTCATCCACTGCCTCAAAAGAGTGGCCTCTCCAGCTCTAGCCTCCTGCCCAGTGTTTTCTTAGATCATCATCATATCATCCATCCTCTAGCATAGTTCCTATAAAATTCCTAGTAAATTCCCATGACTTATTCCGAGCCATTGGCCCTTGAAAGAACATCTCTATGTGGCTTTTTGCCTAGTTTATTTTTATGTTGGCCGCGGGGGGGGGCGGCTCAAGACTAATTGAAGACTCTCAACACCTCGACCGGGCCTGAACGGGGAAAACTGTGAGAGATTCTCCCCCCAATTAAGGCCAGACCCGGCACTACGCAGCCTATTTAAATGTTTATTAAATTGTGTTTTCTTCCACCGTGCTCCCAACTCTCTTCTCAGACATTGTTGCGCCCAATTTCAGTTGCTTATAATTTATATATATAGTATATATATGTAGTATATTTATGTAAAAAGTTAAGGCCAGGCTAACAACGCGGCAACATGCAAATTTGCAATTTAGTTTTAATTTTTTAATCGTTTCGCAAAGGAAAACTCCAACACGTTCCGTTGATTGTTGCACAGATATATATATACATATATATATATATATATACACTCTATATGGTATATATATTCGACTATATTTGCCTCAACATTTAATAGTTTTTTCTTCTTCCTCCATCTTTGTTTTTTATAATTGCTAAAAGCAGAATATTTACAGGGAGAGGCGGTGGTAGAGGGAGGGGGAGGTAGGTATGGAGGTAGGGAGGGTTGGTCTGTGTACAATCTCATGTCAAGCAGACATTTCAATTCAATTAAATTTGTTCGCCTCTTATCGAATAAAAGTTGCGCCTTGCCTTCCCCCCCTTCGCCGCAAAACTTTTCCTAGGATTGGGCACAGTTTTTGCCATTAATTAACTAGGAGAGGAGGCTGCCTGCCACGCCCCCCCGCCCCCTAGCTGTGTGGAGCCAAAAATCTGTGAATGAAAGCAAACAAAGGCATAAATCGATTAAATTTCCTGTCATTTTACATTTGAAACATGAAACAAAATGCGTTGAAATTGTCCCCCCCAACGAATGGTGGCAGGGGGTGGCAGGGGGTGGGGCGGGGTGGGGTTCCTGGTGTGAAAACAGGAACAACAACCGGGGTTAACATACGTTTGAAAAGCTTTTCACATTTTTTCGACCCCCGTTTTTCGAAAGGGGTGCTTCTGTTGTCCTCTGATGGGGGGGATGGTCCTGGCTGTGGGTCCTGGTCCGCGACGTTTATGCAAATTGTCAGTCGTTTGACTGTGAAAACATTGTGTAGCCATTTGAACTCTTGAGGGGGACAAAGATGAGGGCTGGGAGCAGGGCTGGGAGCGCAGGGCTGGGAGCAAGGCAGGGCTGGGCGCAGGGCAGGGAGCAGGGCTGGGGGCAGGGCTGGGAGCAGGGCTGGGAGCTTGACAGAAATTAATATAAATCGATGGCAGTGCAGGGGCCATAGAGGAATGACCCTTAAGGAGGAAGGGGCCTCTCAAGAGTCTCCATTTATCTCCAACAAAGAATGATCTTCCGTCCCCCTTTCTCCACCACATACGACTGTTCTCTCAATTAAGTTTTACCTTCAAGCTGGCGGTTTCTTCATTTGAAAAATTGCATTTACAAGTGGAACGCGTTTCCGCCGTGCACTGGACACGCCCCCCCCCCCTCCTCCCCTCCCGGTGGCACCGACCAATAAATATGCAACTTTTGCATACACTACACAGCCCGTGCAACGTACAAGTTTTGCTTACAACACTTGCGACAACTTAATTCGTGCCAAACATGCGAGAAGACGGGCCCGGCGAGCTCCAATTTAAATTAATCAAGTTGGGGCAGCACCCACCCATCCACCCACCCACACATGCCCTGGAGTACGGCGAGTCGGAGGGGGAGGGGGAGGAGGAGGTGGAGGAGTACTCCTGGCATTGCGTGCTCTTGGATCATTTTCCTGTGCGTTCCTAATGAATTTTTAATTGTTTTTTCGAGGCAAAAGATGCCGATTCGATCGAAAGACATTGCCCATTGAAACTTCTTGAAGGACGCGAGGGCCTACAAGGGCACACCGGGGGGGGGCATCATTAATTCATCTCTCATTAGCAAAAATTGCTTATTGATTTTGTACCGAGAGGAAAGGAATACCTTTTTGGGAGGTTTTACTCCTCTCGGAAGACGACTGAATGATCGAGGGTCGATCTACATCCTTTTTCATGGGGCCATGCCATCCTAGACTGGCCGTACATTCGTGGCCGCATCTAAGATTTACAATATCTAAAAATTTAATTTGAATATAAGTAACTTTTCCTACAAAAAACTCATTAGTTTTAGTGCGTCTATTCTAGGGACCAAGAAAAAAGTACACAGCTTTTAGAAACTATTTTAACAACATTATTTTGCTAAATTTGAGAGGTCCGAGAGGAAAGGAATACCTTTTGGGCATACCTCGAGGAGGAGAATGATCGAGGGTCGATCTATGTATATCCTTTTTCATGTGGCCGTATCCCCCGAATT